AGATGTTTGCTCAACATGCCAGAATACTCTACGTTTCTTTAATGCAGTGCAACGTGTATTGTGTATGCATGCACTGAGATAAGTCAGGATTCAGTGGTAGAATGCATGCCTGAAGATCTTAGGTTAGAGGGAAAAAATGAATCTTTAAAATGATCTAGAAACGTTTCAGGAATGCGTCATTACATCCTAAGTCATTTACTGTTTGCAGGGTACATTTTAAGAAAACCAGCAGCTGCAGCAATGGCTGTATTTTCATGACAGCAATCACTTTGTCAGAGTAAGTGTTACATTTTTTGAACAGTGGATATCACTTTTGAGTGAAACACTTCATATATATTTTAGTGCATGCCAGTTTGTGTCAGTGCAATAGATGGAAATAGCTCATAGTCAAATGCTGGCTGGCTTGTTCCACTTCTATTCTCTCTCTCTCCCTGCAGGAACCGTGAACCACAAAAGACTCAAACATGGCAGGTACAGGGCAGAACCTGGAAGGAGATGAATCCGAAGCCCATGAAAAATAAATCATGCAGTTTTGTGTAAAATTCACATAACATTCGTTACTGCAGGAGACATTCTAAAACTCATTCCAACTTTACAGACACAAAAATAATCAGGCTGCTTTGCTCCCCAATGTGATCACAACACCTAACTATGTTTCCTCTATTACCCCTGCCTGCCACAACAAGACACAGACCACACAGAAAGAAATGTTTCACCAATTAGCATAATATGCAAAAGATGTCTCAAATGATAACCAAACGCCTCAAAGGGGTGCAGGCGGCATGTCGGCTCTCTCTGAATCCACCTATTCATTCATGTTTTGTTTTCTTGTGTTCATCCTGCCTTCATTTTGTGTCTTTAGAGGGAGAAAAAGAAGAGTTGTTACCCACAAGACATGCATCCTTACCGGCAAAACCTTACATAACATTACCTCCGCCTCCAGCCGTATGTGTGGTACACACAGCATCAACAACATTGCAAACACACCACAGGTAGAAATAGTCCTGCTGTCTGGTCAGGGGGATGAAAAAACAAAAAAAATACAAACAATTTTTTTTATCGAGTTTCACAGTTTGTTGTATTATTCGGACAATGATTATGCGACGTGCCAATACGTTACATGCTCTGTCTGGCACACTCTTGAAGACCATCTTGCTTGTTTAATGTATTCCAAGCATGCTGGCTGTCCTAGTGACAGGCACAGGGTCAAACCAAATGCAAATACGAGGGCGTCCGAGAGAAAAGAGAAACAGACAGAGATAGAGAGCAATAAACAAAGTGACTGTTTTGTTTGTTCATCATGCATCAGAGGAAACTGATAAGGACCTGTAAGTCCCTTTAGCTCTGCTGGCTTTTCATTGGACCATCTGGTATTTAAACCATAGCGTCCGCTAAGCCACTTCAAACCTCTTTCTACCCCCACACCCCACCTCTCATTATTCTCTGCTTTTTTCACCATGACATTCCTGCAGATCTGGCCAGACACAGCAATTACGCAAAGGGATGGACACAAGGTTGAATGGATGTTACATAAAAAAGGAGTTGGGAAATAAAGGATAGATCATGTAAGAAAGGCGTGAGATGTACAGAGAAGTGGAAAAAGTACACCATTCCCCAGTTTCTGCTTATTGAGGGGTAGCTGTGTGGGTGATTATAAAACCATGCTGTTCTCAGTAACACCAGGATTACACACACACTGCCAGACCTAATCTATGTGCCTAACATCTGCTTCTGATGACACACACACACACACACATGACCATAGTGGTCACAAATGCAGTCTGTGGCTGAAGCAATTTCATCACATGTATTATTCACGAATATTTTAATCTTACGAGTATAATCAGACACAACATGCCTACTGCTACAGCAAGGCAACAGGGGGGGGGTCATGTGTATTCACATGAGAAAGCTGCTCTCAGCCTTGTTTGACGGAGCAGAGGAAGCTGTGTACCAGCCCCCGCTCCCTGTGGTTGTAACAGATTTATTACCTTCGCCAAAAAAATGGTGTGTTTTTGGTTCGGTTTGTTTGTCAGCAAGATCACAGAAAAATACTGGCCCGTTCTTCCCAAAAATTGGTAGGGTGAAGCATGGGCGAAGGAAGAACCCATTCAATTTTTGGAGGGGATACGAGGTCTGCGCTCTCCGAATACTCTTGCAATTCTCTAACATAAAGACAAATTGTCGCACACTTTCTTTGGATGGAAAGATGTTTTTTTTCCATCATGGCCACTTTCTGCAAACTACACACGCAGCAAAGAAAAAGCTGAATTTCATTTTGAGAGATATGTTTATTTTACCGTCCATAACTCTTGGCTTGAGCTCTGATATGCTGATTTGACAGGGGCCTTCAGTGGAATTTATAACACTCCCCAATTTGTTCTGATATTGTAAAAAAATGCTGCCTTAAACAGAGGTGAGGCAGAATGATGGATCAAAAATGCTGCTGCGATATTTGGCTGCATCATGGGCCTCAGAGCTCAGCTCGTTATCTGCTTTGGCTTTGAGGAATTGGTACACAGTCGCCCTCGAGATTGCTGAGATCTGATTTTGGTAAGATGGAGGTCTGCTCTATAATGTGCTTTGATCATCACAGGTTTTTATGCTCACCAGCAGAATAATTATCCGGATTTGCAACAACTGTACAATTTATATAAGGTTTCGTTGAACTGTGTAAATGTGGAATGCCTGTGGGAGTAACCTTTACAGTCCATCTAACGACTCAAATAATCATTATGAACAAACACACCTAAAATGCAACTAGAGAGTACAAAACTCTGCCAAAAAAGAATACTTGCTGTTACATTTCAAGACTCTGTTCCAAAAAAATGTTTCAATTTAAATTTCTTGACACTGCAGACATACTGCTGGATCAAAAAAGGTTCTACCTCTGCACTCTAAGTCAGTTTCCTTGTTGTGATAACAATGATAAGCTAATGTCAGCAATTCCAAATTATACTAAAATCTTTTTCAACAGTTCTTGGTTTAGGGCCCATTTTGCACATACAGTATTTGAGATTTGGCACCAAACTATGAACTGACCGACCAATATACAATAGATGCAATTCCCGAAAGATATTCAAAACAAATCACTCAACACAACAAAACCAGGTTTTGCCTAGTTACTGTTATGTCTCAAATTATGATATCCCTTTCTAATTTTCTGCCCTTGATGAAAGGGTTAATACATTTCTAACATACATTTCCTTTTTTTTGTGTGCAAATATTGAGTGATTATTCTTGAGAAAGGGTCACAGGTTTCTCATTTTCAAATAAACCATCTGCCAAAGTTGATATGTCATCTACAAATATAAATGTGACGCTATTAAAAATATGTTATTACAAGAATTGATCAAATATGCAGTTATTAATGGCAACAGGTCATTATTTAAACACATTTTGGTCAAATGACCAATACTAATACTACAGAAAAAAATCATCCAACAGTTGACATATTTTAGTCCGACTGGGCTGACCGATAAACATATTTTGATAATTTGGGTTATATTATAATGCACTACAACATTATCACATGCTGTATCCACGCTGAATGCTACTCAAAACTGCAACATATTTCTCCTCCAAACCGGTCATCTCAGTGAGCGTGTTGCTTTTATGCATGACTGCAATACAAATATGGTTACAGGTGTTAACGTTACTTCAATATACTGTATTATGGCAAAAAGATATATACCGACAGTATAATATTGCCAACCTATTTTTCCTTTGTTTTCTTTTAAAACATACTCAGACATTTGTTTTGGTGGCATCATCTCGTCATTCAACAAAACTTTGTGGAGAACATTGGCTCTGAGAGCGAGCCAACAAAGACTCAGCAATATTGACAAAGTCATGCTGTCCTGTAGAGAACAGCACAAAGAACACGGCCATAAGGGGCAGGTATGCTACGGGTTCTTGTAGAGGACAGTGTTGATGCGTTGTGGCCAGTTTGTCTGCTCATCATTCATCCACTTCCCTGTTTCTGCTTGAATATTAACAATATGATTCACTGCCATGAGTGAGCATGCTTAAGATTATCCAAGGTTCTTTCAGAGCGGGCAAGCACAGTTAATCCCATTGGTTATAGATTCAGAAGTCTTTGAAGCATGTCCACCATACACATAGCACAGCATTATCAGGATTTTGCAGTTTTCATTTAGCCGATTTATTTTGTGCACATCATGCCATTGGTTTTCTTGATGTGTGATATTGTATATTGTTCGGCCCCTGCTATTGACTTTGTCTCCGTATTCAAAGTGAATATGTATAATATCTGATTGTGAGGTCAGCCAGGGCTGTCTGTCGCCTGGTCATCACATCGCCCTGCTTTGAGGCTGTCACTACTGCTCTAATCTGTGCCTGCTGCTGTGCTTGAGGGGCATCTGCTGCAGCCATTCGCACAGTATTGAAAACAAGTCAATGGCGCTCGCCTCAATGTGTCACCACAGGCACTGACAGTGTCAAGGACATATGAATCTACTGGATCTGATGGAGAGTTTGACTGCACTGTTGCCCCCAGTTGGGATAAATGGGATAAACCTGCCACCTCCACTCACTCTGGCTGCACATGTGCAAAAAGTGAATCCGGAGTCCAAACAATTCACCCTGGTGGATGCATTAATCGGTTAAATGATATTGGTTAAACCAATAGTGTATCGCGTTCACAATTGAAAGACTTAGCACCAGCGGTGTTTAACATTGTAATGATTTTGTGTGTTTTTTATTGAAAATGTTATTGTGTTACACAGGTTTTAATAACCCTGATCAATCAGAAAATGTATACCTATACAGACATCAGTTTAAGACCCAATGAAAACACATTGTCTGCTTTTGTGTTGTGTGCAAGTTTCAAAATGTTCTCGCGCTCATCTTCGACAAAAGCTGCACATAAGTCACAGTGTGCTGATTGGACTTCCCGCGTGCAGACCCACGCTGTGTGTGCACTTGGAGCATTGTGCTGAGATGAAAGGCAGATTTTGGGAAGTCACGCTGGGAATAGGCAGAGGAAAATGAGGCGAATCTTCTGTTTGCACGCAGACCTTGGTATTAGGGTTAAGGTTAGTCAGAGGAGAGAGAGGGAAAGGGAGAGACACACGGAGCCGGCTCGGAGGTAATAATGTCTGTGAAACCGTCTCTGTCCTCATTCAGTGGAATTCTCCACATCCAACGGTGCGCCTGACTGAAGGGGCTTCTCCGTGATATTTACTACAGTAGGCTACGACGCACAGCGCTGGTTGCGTCGTATAGTTTTGGCGCATGGCAAGGGCACCAGGAATGGTTAGGGAAAACAATTTCTTCCCGTTGTTCAGACAATAGAGAATTAAATCAGAAAGACTCCCGGGGCGGTATAATGGTTTGACATTTTAGAAAGGAATAGCCTTTTTTTTAATTTTTTTCCCAACGTGGGCGCACGCATAGTCAGAGATGCCAAGCAGCAAGCCAGGGGCACTTGAAGAGGATGAAGACTTAAAATATGAGTGGACTGGACCTTCTTTTATGAAATATTATCCAAACGAAAAATAATTTACATTTTCTCAACGAGGAGGAGGTGTGGCACCGCCGCATGTCCGATCAGCTGTTGGTGGCACATGGATGGATGACTTTTGTCCGAAGATACAGAAAGCGAAGAGCCCATGTAACTTTATATAGGTCACACGCGAGTACCACATATTATAACTCATATCGCCTTTAGCAGACTTGACCTGCGCTCTTGTGGAATTTGGGGAGGCATTCAGGTGCGCTCCATGTTTTGTTTCGGACACACCGGTACCGGCGGTACCTGCGGGACATAAAGAGCAGTTGGGACTTGAAAGCAGCGTTGGGCTGTGGGCCAGTGATGCCGGACACATTCACACTCATAAAGAACCGGACGGAGCCACGGCTGTGGCAGCTAGAGCGCACACTGGCCACGGAGGGGAGCGCCCGCCCCGCCTGGGTCATAGCAGTCCTGGCCAGCGTTTTGATCTTCACCACGGTGGTAGACGTGCTGGGGAATCTGCTGGTGATCATCTCGGTGTTCAGGAACCGCAAATTGAGGAACTCTGGTAAGATATTTCGTCCCTTGCAATGATTTTATATCATCACAAAAGGTTATTGGTGGTAATTGATCACGATTTTGGGGGGAAAGTCGTTGCATACTTTCGTCAACTGTATAACTTTTTACTGTCGTAGGCCTATATGAATTAGCGTAATAATGTAGGCTATGTATGTTATAGACCTAGTGAATTCTGGGTAAAGTATCCCCCCCACGTCTTCCTTCCCTAAGGTGCATGTTTTAACCCACAGACCTCTGAGTGCACTTTGCCCCAAAATATCATTCATCCCCGTGACAAAACTATTCCAAAGTAAATTGGTGCATTTTTTATAGTTTAACAAAAAAGTAAAAATTGAATATGAACTCACAGCAAATAATCTGTATTTTTAACAAAATACCTCCTTTTGGATTAGGGTTTAAATCTACTTCTGTCATATGTTTGCAACTACATGCAAAGGGCTATAGCTTCCAGTTAATAACATTATTATTATTATTCACATCATGCTGAAGGGCATCTGTGGAGACAAGGCTGCTAATAGACACAGCAATGACTGCTTGGGATTTAACCATGTGCATTTCCAATTAATATATAGTGCGCTGCAGACACGATGGCCAATTATGTCCTTACAACAGCTTGGTGTATCTCTTACGTCACTCTTCAGCTTCTTACCAGAAAAGTTCAAAAGCTAGTCTGACTCATGCTTGCTGTGTAAGAGCAGGTTAATAATGAGTCATTTTGAAAAGCTGACTAGTGTCGATGTGAAAGACTGAAACTACCCAGGAGGCCACATGCTGCAGTGAAGCATAATACTAAATCATAAAGCATGGAAGTACGCTTTCACTTGTCCCTCGCTCCAGGTAAAATGAACCCTCGAGGTTGTAACTAAACCCTTTTGTGATGACAATGAATCCCTTTCAATAAGGTTACTGTCACGATCAGGCTTTGCCCTGTGTGTTCTGTGTCTTTGTTTCTTTCTGTAGCTCCTCACTCATCTAATCAGTTCATTCAGTGCACCTGCCAGTCACACTCAGCTCATTACTCTCACCTGCTCACTCTGCCTCCTTCACTATTTAAACCCCTGCCGCGCGCACACACACCCACTGCCAGATCATTGTTTGTTTTCCGACCTACCCGCCCGTTTTGCTCGCCCTGTTCCCGGTTTTCCAGTCTGCCTGGTCTGCCTTTTCCTGCCAGATTTCCCCCCTCGTCTTTTGTGTTGTCCCTGGATTTCCTGTTTGTTTTTGGTTATCATTAAAACCTTTTTCACTACACCTGACTGTCTGCGTTTGAGTCCTCATCATGCCCCGTGACAGTTACTGAATCATCCACAGCAGTCCTTTTTATTCCTGAAACAAGTATCTCACCCTAATGCAGTGGTTTTGAAACTTTGTCATTCCTGCCTTTGGAGGCAGAAAAATGTAAAAAAAAATCCTATTTGATAAGGAATTGTGTCTAACAATGAAAATGAACCAATGAACAAAATAAATCCTTCAGGCTTTAGGTTATTGTTAGGCAAACACAAACTCTTGGCACTAAGCCCCAATGCAGGTAACCTACTGGAAAGGTGATCTTTAATATTCATTCCTGCTAGATTTCAGAATGCTAAAAATCTCCCTCAATCAGTTAAGACAGCAACTAAGTCTCAAAGGGGTCCAAAGACCAGGGTTTCTGGCTAAATCAGCTAAAATGAGGTCTGCATTAAGTCCAGGAAGGATGAGAATATCCTGGGTGTGCAATTTCCCACTTCTCTTAAGCCCAAAAGAAAGGGCATCGTCACCCCCTTATTGGCCAAGAGAGGAAATGCATCAAGCTGCGCCCAGTTGCTAATTAGGAGCCAGTCCTCACACCCTGAGCAACTGGTCATCCGAATAACCCTCAGATCAACTCAGGGGAATTGTGACGTTAAGCTAAAATGAATAAGGATAACGGAAATGCCAGCAAGTACCAAGGAACGAAGGAAAGCTATGGAGTTTTCAGACATAAAATACACACTGGTCTCTCATCATCTCCTACTGCATTCACTATGAGCCCAAGAGCAGAATAGGCTGTCATATTTTAGTCTTACTTATTCTTCGTTTAATAATAACAGACAACCGAGCACATTGTCTCGTTTGTCTTGGAAACATAGCTTGTTTTTCTTTTCGTCCCCATCAAATATCTGTCCATCCTTTAAACTGACATACCTGTCAACATCAAAACACTAGTTGGGCATCACATTTCCCCCGGTCACGCGTGCCCCACCTGTGTTTTTGTATTTTCTTTTATTTGCGCTTATTTTCTTCTCAGTCAGATGGACACAGTCCCAGGAGTATTTGAAGGCAACCTTGTCTTCAGAGAAAGACTCCCACATTCTGCACTTCAGCATGGACTTTTTTTTTTTTTTAACTAAGTCTTAGGTAAGGTTCAGCTTATTCATAGCTCTGAATCACCAGTCGCCAGGGCTATTTTTTTATTGAAGCTCTTAAGAAGTTGATCTCAAGACCACGTGTAAATCAGGAGCAATATGTCAAGTGTGATTCAATTTGTGTGTAGCGTAACCTACAAAATCCTTTTAAATCATTATCTTATTAAACTTCACGCTCAGTGGAATGCTGTGCATTTCTACATTTTCTTCACCACCATTTGCAAATAAAATTGATTTCAAAATGTTGACGCACCATGACCCCACTAAATACAATTCAGTAAACTGTATTGCAGGAAACCTGTCCATTTCATCCACAATTTCAAAAACAAATTCCCTGCATGGAGACACTTGACAGCTTTACACTTTACAGCTTAATTAAAAATGATGTTATCCTTTTTTTAAATGTATATCTAGGTTACCTATAGCCGCTCCGTATAAAGTGCTATTAAACATATATTTGCGGTGAGGTTTTGCCACTCATATGGTGTATTTCTGCCTTAAACCTGATCTCTCTCAACTCAAACAGCCCACTCAGCAGTTGAGAAAACACTCTGAATCCACTGTCATGAACTCGAAGCACGGCTACTGTAGATTGAAACAACCCACTTAACGGTTTTAAATGGGAGAACACCTGACTTAACAACAGCATATAAACAGTGACAGCAGGAGCAGAGGGTAGCATATGATTACCCACTACAGTCGTCACGGCTTTGCTTATGTCCCTGCTGTGGCAGAGTGAACAAAGAAAACTGACCGCTGAGTGTTGGAGCACTATATTTCGTCAGATGTTAGGTTAGTGATGGATGACTAACTCTGCGTCATTCTCACCAGGGTTTTTTTTGCGATTAGTGACACACTTGTTCCCCATTTTGGCTCATTGTGTCAAAACTCTATTCACAAGCCGAATAAGACACTGGTAGATTACAGTTTTTTTTACAATTGCCTCAGCACGATTTTTAAAAAAGGGTTCATTTTGTCAAAACACTCGACAAAACTCCCACAACTACACGCACACTATAGCTTAACACGTCAGATCTTTTGCAAATTGAAACAGTTCATTCAAACCTAATACAATAGTTTATTAAAACCCAAATTTGTCACAATATGGCACACACATGGTTGATACGATCGGTTTCTGTTTGAACCAGTTACACTCTTCTGTGCTTAATCTTGAAACCTTTTTCTGTCTTTTCTAATGATATTGTCTGGCTTTGATTTTTCCGAGATATTGTCAGAGTGAAGTACATGAATGTATCTACCAAACACAACACACAAGACCAGTGCTTACTACACTAATGAAAACATGTATTTCCCTCCACATTGTAAAATCAATCAGTGTCATTGCATTTCCAAAGGTTGCATTTTTCACTGAAAGAAAATCAGAACAGAACATATTTGAAAAAGAATATAGTACATAAACGCAGAAAATATAGTTTGTGTAAACAAAAAAGACAGCATGAATTGCTAATACGTGTTTAAACAACCAAAGAAAAGAAAAGAAAACAGGCCTCTCACTGCTCTGTCGTAAACAGGGACTCACCTGTGGTCTTTCCATAGTGCTTACATAGTGATTGATGATTTGACAGTCAAGCAATTAGGTTTTGGCCAGGTGGCATGTGTATTGGCCAATTGGTCCATGGGTATGGCATTTTGAATTTGATTTGGCAGAGTTTTGAAATGGCAAAAGAGTGACTTTATGCAGTCAGTGTGTTGCAGAAAGTGGCATCTTGAATTACAAATTGGGTGCAAAGCAGAAACTGTTTTTAGAGTTTTGGAGACTTAAGCTGAGATTTTGCCCTCTTGAGTGTCAGTCTCAATAATTGTACTTGTGTCATTTTAGTGTGTTGGCAATTGAAAAAAAAATGGTCCTCCTCACTTCTATGTCCAAATGAAACTCTGCAATCAAAACCTCAGAATCCTTTTTAATTTTTGCAACAAAATGACACACACATACAAACTATTTGTAGTGTTTATACAAAACACTGCTGTCTATAGCACTTTGTATACCTTTTTTTATTCATGATACATCATTTTGTGAAAGATTGTTCCAGAATATAGTACATACATATACATTTCAATGGACAAAATAATAGAAAGGCTTTGGAAAAACAACAAAACACAGTAATAAATACAATATATTAATGTAAACTCACTAAAACTAAAATAATTACAGTCTACACTCAGGATTTGCATTTTGAAAAGAGATGTTTTCCCAATCGTAACAGATTTCATTCTTGAATGTGTTTATCCAATGTAAGAGACAGTGTGAATAACAACTGCTTTTAGTGTGTACAATCACAAAAAACGATAAAAGTGATACAGTATATGCATACGGTATTCATTTTGAAGTGGCATTAAACTATTTTATTCACACAGATCAAAACTGTGATGCATGTTGGTCGTGTAACAAAGCTACATAAGGATTGCACATTACCTTTCTACCCGCTCATTTTTCCCCCTTTTATTTTATCTTTTCAAAGACCTCCATTTTTAACTGAAATTAAATTTTCTCTCATGTCCTATTGTATATCAGCAAGCTTCAGAACGGGGTCACACAATCACACACACCATGCATTCATGAGCCATTAGAGACATTTGTCCTCTG